TTCTAGGGAGTTAATATTATATTCTGAAAAAAATAATCAAATGTTAATCCCTAAGGCTGCATTAAAAATTGTAAATGAATATCTGTATAGAAAGGAAAACTCCGAAAAAACTTTTATAAAGACCTTATTGACATATAACAAAAATATAAACATAAACATATTTTACATAAGCATTAACATATAAACATAAAACATAAAACTGTTTTAAAGGCGATTTGTATACTTTGAACCTGTCGAATGTGTTTATTGCTAATACAATTGTGTAGTTATATGCCTAATAATATTATAAATATTGTCTTTGTGTCAGTTAAAGGTCAAAGTATTTGAAATTCGAGGAAACGTTGAGATAGTATATCTGATATTTCTACACAAATCTTATTTGATGTTTGTTTTTAAAGTACTGTGTATGTAGATTTGATATGTAAACAAGCTGGTGCTATTGAACAGTATTTTTTAAATCTTCAAATTGTTGATGAATCAATAAAAATAAGATTACTTGGATCTTAAAGTTTCAAAGGGAACCGAAGACAAACCATATATTCAAAGAGATAATGGATTCCTAGACCTATATTCTTCTTTTTGCCTGCCTATGTCGAACTTAACAGAAAGTAGTTAAATATCCTAATGAAGAAAGTCAATGGCTTGATTTAGAAACGTACAAATTGTTGTTTTTTATTCCTTCTCTAGAACTGAAGAAAGTAAATATCATTTTTCACACATTTAAACTTACTAATCAAAATAGACCAAATATGAAACCTTGACATTTTGTGAAGCATTTTCTGCTTTAATATAGTTTTTCTTTGTGGTTTAAGGACTTAAAGAGGCTTGGACTCAGATTTGAAGCTTATATTTTCTAGAATTTTTAGTATAATATCATTACAGATATGTTGCCAGAGCATTTCACGCCAAAATATAAAAGCGTGTTTAGAAACTTCTTTTTTCTGGAAATTAACAGATTTTTTTAAATATTAAAACTACGAATTTCGAGACGGGTTTGATTGCCTTTCGCGAAGCAAACTTTATCCTTAATATTTAAGAAAAGTGGAAAAATGGTTGTGTATTAATGAAAAACATTTAAATTATAATCTAGAAAATTCAGAGTAAAAATGTGATAAAGGAAAATCAACTCACCAATATTGTCGGTCCGTGCTCAGTTTGTGTGCAGAGTAAACAAATTGAACACACATGGTAAAACGTAAATATTTTAAAACAGTAACAGCATTCGAGTCCATGTTTACAAAGTTAACACAGAATTTTGACGTGACGTTATGGAGAATATCGTTATCATTGTGTTTTAAGAATAGAATTTTTAAGAATTTTTATGTAAGTTCCATTCATTTAACTGAAGTTATCTTTTGATTAAAAATGGAAATTTTAACTTGTAAGCGAAACGGCAATGCAACTGTGTCCAGGCCCCTTTAAGGTAGAAACAACATTAAATCTATCCACCTATCTAAATTATAAATAATGTTTGCTACTTAAAGGATGTAATATCATATTCATGTCACCTTGCAAAGTATACAATGGATATTTCAGCTGTTATACTAAAAGAAACTTTTAGATTTCCAGACAGAGACATTATTCCCTGGTAATAAGTATATCGTATACCACAATAAAGCATTAATTTTAGTGAAAGTCTCTGTTTTAAAGTCTTTTCAAATGAAACATGATTTAAGGGTTTTTTTTTTCTTCATTGTGTTGCTGAATAAGTAAACCATGTTTCTTTATGCAAAAACTTCTATTACTTTTTTCTTTGTCATGTAAGTATAATGTTTTCATGTTGATCATATATTTTTTTTTTTACTTCATTTAACACATCTATTTTGGTTATTGATACAAACAAAGATACTGAACGTTAAGTGTATCCTTCATAGTACAAAGTTATCAGAAAAAAAGATAATGTATGTTTTCTCAGAAATGCTCTTTTTTCAAGAAATGTGAATATTACGAACAGTAATCTAGTCCATAGTCAAAATCCAATAAAACATTGAAAATTTGGAGTAGGGAAAACACTGACTGCTTGAAACGCAAAACATGGACCAGCTGTGACCCCTATGTCTTGATCAGTTGAATATAGTAAACCATAGGCAAAGCAGTAAGTAAACAAAAGCCTGACAATTAATCTGAACAAAGCCAGTCATTTCGAACAAAAAATAAGTTTTATTTATAAACAAAGCCAAACAATTTACAAAATGTTGATTATCAACGATAATATAACTGTGACATCAACTAATTTATCAGTAGCCTGCCTCAGTTTAAGAATTGAACGCGTAGAGAACATGAAGAATCAACTGCGAGACATATATACACCATGTGGCGGTGATCATAGTACATGTATCGATATACGAGGGTTGTCAGTAAAATCGTGAACAAAGCGTTTTTATCGAAAAATAATGGGCGCACTAAGCTGAAATTTTAAGCAAATGCTTATTTATCTATTTATCATATTTAAGTGCATCTTATTTATTTATTTATTTTTTTTGATAAAATATAGACAAAAATAAACATTTTATTATGCTTGAATGTGCACTGGGTACTGTCCTACGACGCACGATAAAAAAAAATCCAGAGTTTTATTAGAGAATACATGAGTATTATTTCGAAATAAAATTATTTTAAAAGGCTTTTTGATATCATTGACAGCTGCTTTTTCAATAAAAATGGAACTCGTAAATTTACTTACCTTGTCATTGGTCATTTGCAAAATTATTTTGTTAAAAAACATTCTGATTGTACACACAAGTACTCTGAAGTTGACATTAAAAAGATGCTTGAGTTTCTGATTGACAATATCAGATTGGTTTTTGGAGACCAGGTCTTCCAACAATCTATTAGAATTCCCATGGGTACCAAGTGCGCCCCGTTATTAGCAGACCTTTTTTGTATTCATATGGAGCAGAATTTGTCCAAAATCTTATACGTGAAAAGAAGAAAACACTTGCTGTGACCTTCAACTCGACATTTAGATATATCGACGACGTATTGTCAATTAACAATGGCTATTTCCATTCTTATGTCGATACGATATATCCTGTTGAGCTTGAGATAAAAGATACCACAGAGTCTGACACATCTGTTTCATATTTGGATATTTTACTTGAAAAGGATTTTAATGGTAATCTAACAACAAAGCTTTATGATAAACACGATGACTTTAACTTTTCAATCGTTAACTTCCCTTACTTATGCAGCAATACCTTCATCACCTGCATACGGGGTTTATATCTCTCAGTTGATTCGATACACAAGAGCATGCTCTACGTATGTACAATTTCTAAAACGAGGTAAATTATTCACAAACAAGTTGATGAAACAAGAATATCAGCAGTCTCGTTTAAAGTCATCATTTCGTAAGTTCTATGGTCGATACAATGACCTTGTCAGCAAGGACAATTTATTCATTGAGTCAAATACTGACTGACCTTTTTCATATTATTTGTTAGACCATTATTTACACACTGAATTGTCGACGGATTTTTCGGTCATTTCCCGATCATGACAAGGAGCACGCGGCGGGTGTGACCGGTCGGCAGGGGATCCTCACTCCTCCATGGTACCTGATCCCACCTCTGATGTTTTGGAGGTCTGTGTTTGCTCTGCTCCTATTTTGTATTGTTTAATGGACTTTTGAGCTTGAATACTGTTCATTATCTCCATATATTTCATTAATGAAAAGGCTGGGGGGGAAATCTTATCTTTAACCCACTATCTATTTTATCATCTTTTGGAAAATTTCAAGGCATTTGCTTAATTTTTGACAATTTCTAGAGCATTTGAAATGGGAAATTTGTAAACACAACACACGAAAAATTGCGACGTTTGATGACGTTACGGCAACCCAAACAGCAGTTCCGTAGGAATTAAAGTAGTAATATCGCCCTAAGAGACTTTAAATGACTACAGAAGAAAAAAATTTAACAATTTCACTAGATCTTTAGTATGCAAATGAAATGGGAGTTTTCAAAGCGGAAGCTTTTTGATCAAGTCCCCGGGTAGAACTAAACATACGGACAAACAGCTACATGTACTGGCAATAGCGAAACACGACCGTCGATATGAGATTAGCCTATTTACTTGAATGATAGTGAGAGTACCGTCCATAACTTACTAATAAGTCTTCAGGAGGCCATGTGTATGCGAGATTGGTTCCTCAATTGTTTATGTGGGAATAAAGGAAACTCAAGTATGTGCATCAATGAAATTCCCGAATTTAAGTAGGGCTTATCCAATTTTTTTAAGCAAAGAGGAAACGTAACGCTGCTTTAGACACTTTGACGTTACCATACGTGCGCCGTAAAGCGATACAATGCATGTACCACACATAAAAAGTCTCATATTTTATTTATTTGAGCATATATCTATTTGAAATTTGCTACGTACAGTGTATATTGATGAAAAATATACTAAAGAGTAGTGTAGTGTTCACTCTAGACAACCTGTCCAAGATTTCTTCTTCATAGATAATTTCTTTGAACTCTTATTGTTCATTTTTGTTAATAAAATTAAATATTTTCACTGATTAAGGGAGAGGATAAAACACAAAGACATGTTGTGTAGTAATTTTCTTCTAAAACAATGTTTTGATTTAAATATTGTTTCAAGGGAGAAAACACGTCTGTGAAAAGTATGATTAAATATTTGGACACGATTTTCCGCTCGTGGATGTAAAATGACGAGTATGTCACTTTGTGAAATATTAAATTAATATCGTTATGTTAATAACGATACAAGTCATACAATCCAGATCGAGACATATTTTCCTGATAATATTTAAGTCTGATAAAATTCATGTAATTTGTCTTTCTCAGACTTATTTTTCTAGTATTTCAACAAAATTTCTATACCCTAGTATACATGTACGTCCATTCCAATTATTCTAAAGCTTATGATTAAAAACTTTAAGGAAACTTAAGGTCAGTTTGTAAGTTTGTGAAAGTACATTAGGTCATCCTTATTGATATGTAATATCCAACATATCCAAGTCTTGAAAAGAAAAATAATTCAAAAGTTTTAATCTTTATTTTTACCAACATTGATTTGATACAAAATAAATAAATAGATGCTATATACATGCATTAAATATTTTTATACGAATTCCTCACAACCTTTATAATCAAGTATAATCCGAAATTAAATTTCCACAAAACAGTATTGCATTGCCGGTGGTAAAATGACCGGGCTTTCCGATGTTAAAGCCCTTGGGTCATATGAAGGAAGCACCATGTCATTCGGAACCTCAATTTTAAATTTCTGCACCAGACTTGTAGTGTAGAGAAACATTCTACTTTTTGCCATCTGCTGACCTACACAATATCGTTTCCCAATGCCAAATCCCACGAAACTATAACAGAAAAAAATACGAATTCAAAGACCATTCAATTCTCCTAATAGATTAATAATATATATATATTTCATTGCTATTAAACTAATACATTTGCCATTTACTTTCTAAAATGCAATTCTAACTAAATAAATTACAAATCTGTAGATTTTGAAAAGAAGACCGCATACTTTTGACGTGCTGGGTGGTCACTACTGACTAATTTCCCATTTTCAAGAAAGCGTTCGGGTTTAAAGCTCCAAGGTTCTGAGTAGATGCTCTCATCATGGTGGCAGGCAAAAAGGTTTCCAAATATCTGTAAAAAAAATATCATCATCATCATTAAACAGTAAGGCCTCCGATAGCTAGGGAGGGTTATACAGTGCAAAGTTCTTGAACCACTGCAGGAATATGTGATTATGGATGAGAATGTTGTTGAAATAATCAGTATCTGTGTTGAAGATTCTTTTTAACATTTAAATCGGTATTTCCTTCAATAATTGTCTAGACTTTAGCGAACATATTCAAGAATGTTTGATAACTATCCTAAGCGATAATCTGAAATATATTAACGTTTTACGGAATAACCTATCTTAAACTGAATAAAATAGTTCACACAACTATCCTCAAATCATTATCATGTAAAGAATTTTTCTGAACGAAGATAAGTGCATGTTTTGGGCAGTCTCCAGACTTCAAGTATTCATAATTTCTTATGCAAAAACAATTTTCTTCGTCTTTGATAAAAGGCAAATGAAACAAACCATTTGACGATAAGAAATGTTTGAATCACTCATGTTGCAAAGTCTGCAATTTTATGTATTTAGGTCTATAGGATGTGTTGACTTTCAGACGTTAACATAAACTTCAAGTTTTCAACATTATCACAAACTTGTATATGCTTATTAAATGTATGTACTCAATATTTACCACTGTTCCTTTGGGAATTGAGAAACCCTCCAATTCTACTTCCTGTGAGAGGTTCGCATGGGCTGCTGTGAGTGGAAGGTGTGACTGATAACGAAGGATTTCCATCATGCAAGCCTGAGTATAGGGCATTGACGTCATATCCGCTATATCGGGCTCGCGATCTCCGATGACCATATTAATCTCCTTTCGAATCTTTTCCTGCACCTCCGGAAAGTGAACAAGAAGAAAGAGTACACCAGACATAACTGCTTTTGTTGTCAAAACAGCTGAAACAAAAGGTGTAGCTTAAAAAAGGTACCAAAATGTTTGTATAGGCATTATTCAGTCTAGTATTACAAATTTCTCAATGGAAATGATATTTTAAGTGGTCAAACAAATTCATGGTATAGTTAGAAATCTGAAGGACTTTGAACTAAAACACTTGAACATTAAAGTATGGAACACTTAATATTAGTCTTCGCCTAGTTTGTATTCACTAATAAGCAACATTGTTCAAATTAAGCTGAAGTATGTACACAAAAAGAAAACATTCCAATATAAGTAATATAAGTATAATTACATGTGTTAATGAGATCCATGACCATTCCAAGAATATGTTCATCTGTCAACCAAGCATTTTCAGAATCTTCAGCATATTCCTGGTGCTCTCGCAAAAGTTCGTGTATAAAGTTTCGGACGTTGTTTTTGTCAAAGGACATCTGAAACGAAAAAAAAAAACATTCAAAATATAGACATTTACACATGTTTATTACACTTTCAATCGACACTTAAAAATAAGTAACATGTATATTGTTAAACAAACACTTGATTTGACTTCTGTATTAGATAATAATTACTTAATTTGAGAGACTTAACTTTTAAAAAAAAATTATTGATTTGTGTTTTTAAATGTTTAGTGTTTTATGCAAAAAATATTTCCTTCAGTACATTGCCATTAAAATACTGAAGAAAAAGGGTTCCCAAAGAAGCATTACACATTTAATTGGATAATAAAATTCCGTTTGTCCGATACAATTATTAATTCACTTGCCTTCATATCCCGTATTACATTATGAAGCTCACTTCTCCCATGTATAACTCTGCGGTATAGATTTCCATAGAAACCAGGAAAATAGCGAATCCATGGGAATAGTTTGAATACGGAGTGGACTTGGGGTTGTATCATTGTATCTCCATCGCGATCAAAGTCTATCAAAGTTTTCAACAGCTTGTCCTCATCCTTGCAACGTCGACCAGTAAACTTTGAAAAACAATGTTTTCCTCTTATTTCAAAAAAGGTTTTAGGAAGAGTTTAAAAGAATTTGAACATTTATTACAAAGTCAAGACATTTTAACAAAAATTACTCACCATCATTCCAATGATATTGCAAAATGATGGCATTAATATTTCCAGGGGGTCCGTCGACTTTCCTTCTGTCTTTTGGAATTTTGCCAGCACGTGGGACAACTCCTCTGACATCAGCTCTCTGAACGTGTTCGAGTTTAAATCGTGCAATTTCATAGAACGTATCATTAACTCCTTCATTTTAGAAAAATCCTCGTCATACCTCCTTAAAAGAACGTCTTTGTAACCAAAAGCAATATATTCACCCATAAAGTTTAAGGGGCGATCACTCATCAATGGACCAATGTCGTCACTAGTGAATGCTTTTCTGATGACATCCACTGTGTTCAAAACAAGAAAATTTTTTCCGTTCATTTTGAACGATACGATGTTCCCATATTGTTCCTTCCATTTCATAAAATCTAGATGCAAATTTTTCAAGTCGATATCAAAGAAACAGCCAAAGAAGGGAATTCCTGTCGGCCCAGGCGGAAATTTCTTTTTCTTCGTTTTTGATGTCATGGCTCCAAGGGCTACAAATAGAAACCAAAGACATGATCCTATGAGGGATATTTCAACAAACATGTTTTCTCTTACAACTGCATGAGAAGACAACAATGGACGAGAGAGAAAAATGTCGTTCAAGAGCCCGAATTCAACACAGACTGATGTAAAGTCGACTATATATAGATACCTTTTAAGAAATAAGATTCCCCGAGTCCTTTATCCGTACAAAACATTGCACTTGAGTTGGTTGTCATTTTACTCTTATTTAGTGTAGACTAAATTGCTTACTTCAGGAACAAGA